TTCCATCATTATCCCTGTTACGGACGCCTGATCTCCCTGCGTCCGTCTCCAAGGCCGTCATCCGACCCAAACCCATACACGCCTCTGACACGCCATCACGAACTACACTATCATGGACTCCACGGCAACCGGCGTCAATGCGTCGTCCTTCACAGCGGCCCCAGAGCGGGCCACCTTTGACGGCTTCCTGTTCGACATGGATGGCACCATCATCGATTCGACGCCGGCAATCGAGAAGCATTGGCACAGGTGAGAGAGACCTTCCCCCGGCCAACATGACCTCCCTTGCGTCTACATCTCAGACGAACCCATCACCCTCTCTCACCACCCCCCCTCTCTGCCTCTCTGTCTCTCCGTCGCCCCTACCTACGCCTACCATGCACATAGTAGACCATGCCTTGCCCCCCGGAAACCACCCCGTCTGATGCCCCGCCGTCTTCGGTTCCCTTGCAGCATCGGCCAGGACATTGGTGTTTCTGCCAACGTCATCCTCCAAACATCGCATGGTCGCCGCAGCATCGACGTCCTGAAGATTCTTGCCCCTGAAAAAGCAAACTGGGACTGTAAGTGACCCTCCTTCATGCCCCCCCTTCCCCATTCTCCCTACCTCAACACGCCTCCGGCTCCGCAGCGCGTCGTTGTTGCCCCTGGCGAAGAGAGACCCCAGAAGCGTGCAGAAGAGGAAATGACGCGTGCGCGCAGGCATCTCGCTCGCGCGCGCGCGCGCTCTCTCTCACTCTCACTTAAACTCTCTCCGCCATGCTGCACGCGCGTGCGCGAGAGAACGCGACGTGACAGACGAACCCAGCAGAAGCAAGGACGCCGCAGCTGACGCTTGCCGGGGAGGAGGAGGAAAAGGAGGAAACTCCCTCCCTCCCCCTCCCTTGCCATGACCCAGACGTGCGTGAAGCGGGAGGGCCGTCTGCCCAAGCTGTACGCCCATGAGGCCATTGAGGTTCCCCGGCGCGAGAACCCTCCTCGAAGAGCTGAACAGGGACAGCGCCCCCTGGACCATCGTCACCTCGGGCACCGAGCCCCTCGTCACAGGCTGGCTCGGCGTCATGGCCCTGCCGCACCCCGACCAGATGGTCACCGCAGAGTCTGTCGAGAACGGAAAGCCGGACCCCGCCTGCTATCTCTTGGGCAGGCAGAGACTGGGGCTCGAGGGCGATGCCAAGCGCGTTCTCGTGCTCGAGGACGCGCCCGCTGGCATCAGGGCAGGCAAGGCCGCTGGCTGCAAGGTCATCGGTCTCGTCACAAGCCACACTGTCGATCAGGTCGCCGCCGCCGAGCCAGACTGGATCGTGAGAGACCTGTCCTCGGTCAAGGTGGTTGAGAGCAAAGACGGCGTCGTCACTCTGGAGATATCCAACGGACTTGTGCAGTGATAGCACGCCAGCCCTTCCATGGTCACGAATCCTCCGAGAATATGCAGACCGGCAGGACATGACTCTGTGCCATATGCCGGTGTCGCCGAGAACCTGTACGCGTTCCTGCGCCGCCGGCTAGGTGACCGTGACCCAGATTCAGGCCTCGTACCCAGATAGATAGAATCACACCCGGTTCCCGTATCACTTGGCTTGTACTACTTCGCCTCTGTCAGCTGGCTTCCCGATCCAGTCTGTAAAACTCGGAGTGTGATTCCTGCCCGTGAAAGAGAAATACGACGACATCCCTTTCCCCTTTGTAACACGGTTCCCACATCTCCATGCTGTAACACAGAGGCGACACGATCGCCCAGCCGGACGGAAGTACAGGTCGCAGTAGGGAAGGCCATAAAAAAAAAAGGGCTCCTGGACAAAGGGCGTCGGGAACCGGAATACCATGCCCGAAACCCTTGCTATGCCACCACTGTAAAGGGAGGGCCAAAGAGTGTCTGCGTGGTATAGGTCTCGCCTTATTGCGCCCCACGCTTCGGCAATTCGTGGTGTGAATCGGTAAATCATGACAGGATTGACGTTACCGCCGGATGCGCGTATCAGGCAGGCAAGCAAGTAAAGCACCGAGGAGTCGAAATCCTGCACCGGGGCCTAGACTCCTCAGGCCACAGGGCCAGCCTCCTTCGGACACCGCTTCTCGGTCGCACCGCGATACCGTGTCCCGCCCCTCGCCCCTCCTCCTCGGCGAGAGCTTACCTGTCGTTGCGCTTCTCGCACGCAGTTCGAACAATGGGTAGTGATGAGCAGCCTCCGCGCCCAGTACCAAGACCATGGCTGTGGCGAATAAAAGTTTGCGAGACCTTTGTCGAGGCGAGGACCCGGACCGTTCAGCGTTGAGAAATCCGCCCCTCCAGCGGCCGGAGCTGCAAGGTCCCGAGGGCGGTGGTGACATCGGCCTTCTTCAGCCCGGATGTGCAGAGAGCGCGCGCTGGCTGAGTTGTCACAGGTAGCCGGGCGCCTGCATATGCCCCTCCTCTCTTGGTCTCCCCCAAACGGAAAGCACTGCGATCATCAATGCAGACATGTCAAGCTGGCCTCGGACTGTTTACTTCGGGTCGCTCAGGTCGCCGATTTGTGTGACAGGACAAGCTGGGGCCGCGCAGTGGGATGGTCCCCGGTTGCAGCTGATTGGTGTGCCCCGGGATCACTTTTCCTTCTCCTTTCGCCGCCTAGGCCTCCTCGTTGCGTCAGGCTGCTTGCTGTCTGCACGTCGCTGGCTACCCAAGTGAGCAGAGAAAGTGAGCCATGTACTGGCTGTCACGCAGCGTCAAGTAAACGCCGACAGGTCTAGACACGGGAGAGAGAGCCTGACCACCGCTCGCTTCCACGGTCAACTGATGGCGATTGGCTCGATGGCTGAGACAGTCACAGGTAATGCAGGCAGAGGCTGGACATTGCCCCTGCAAAGGGCCCTAGAGACGCCCCCGTTCTGAGCTGTCGCAAGACAGGTGCAGAGGATGGATGGGGTGGGCAGTCAGTCAGTCCGTCAGTCAGTCAGTCAGTCGAGGCGTCATGATGACAAGCCTTGCCATGCAGGAACGGAAAAGGAAAGCAGCCTGGTAAGGCCCGTACCTACTACTTGTGAGGAAACATGAAGACAAGAAAAAACACACACACGAATAAGCACCCCCCTTGATGGCGGCAACGGAAGCGCAGCCACATCGCCAACCGTGCTGCAGCCTGGTGAGGTGTCTACATGGTACTGGCTACCGTCTGCTGCTGCTGGTGTCGTCCCACAGGCTGTTGGGGGCCGGCTATACGTCAATTTCTTTCGGTGTCTGTATATGTAAGCTCTCGTTCCGCGTGCGCAAGCACAGGCGCCGGGGGTCGCTGGCCCCAGCGCTCAGGTCGGTTGGTGTACATAGTACTGTGGCTCGGCCGCGATCTCCAGGGTCTCTGCTATGATGACGCGAGCTGCGAACATCCCTGACTCAATACGCTGCATAGTTAAGATGAGATATCAGAGCGAAAAAACGATCGTGGTTAGGATTGACATGGTGGACAGGGGGTCCCGGAGTGGATCGTTTCTTGGACGAGGAGCCCACAGCAAGCCGTATCCCTGAGAAAAAAGAAGGAGAGGAGAGCGGGCTCGAGCGCAAGCACCCAGATAAACAAATGTCAAGATGCAGGGGCAAGGTGATTAGCTTATGCGAGTGCCTGTCGAGTTCCTTTTTTGACCACACCGCCCGCCTAACGTATATACGCGCACGTGGCAGCCGGGGCCCTGCTTTGTATTCCAATTTCCCATGCCCGGAGAAAGCATGTTGCTTGTTGGGCCATCATGGCAGATGATGCCACGGCGGGGGGCCTTCTCGGGACTCTGCCATTGTGCGCCACAAACTACCGACAGATGTCGTGCCCGAGATGATCACGCCGTTCCGAGTGTGCGGAAATAACCACGGCTTACTCTGAGTTACCTAAAAGTGACGAGAGGGGGCGTGTTGCGGGACGGGGCGCGACAGCTCGTACATCTGGCGTCTCAATTACGGTCAAACGCTCAAAAAGCCATGTATCAACCCCGTCTCCTACCCAGGGCTAGGCAAGTTCCTTCTAGTGTCTTTTTTTAGGGAAGGGGCGGGGGGCAGCGCAGATGGTCTTTGATCGCCACGGATGGGTTGCCAAGTTTGGCGTCTTGCGATTGAACTCGAGCTACCTGTCGCGTGGTTCAACGAGTCAGCCGTCTGGAGCTCCCCGTGATGCCCTGTGTTGAGATGAATAATACAGAAAAGGACAACGGGGTCCATTGAGTGGGTGGGTTCAACGGGGCGGCGGCGTCGTATCCGGTCCTCGAGCTTGACGGGGTGGCAGAAGGCCTCCAAACGGACGACGTGCCAGCGCCAACGCCAGCGCCAGAGCTATCCACCGAGCTCCGCCAACACTCGAAAGCTCGTGGCTGGCTTGTCAAGATCGGTGCAGGGTTGAGCGAAGCGAGATGAGGAGGGAACGGGCTCCTCCTGGCAAAGGACAACAAGAGGGAACGAACCATCTTGGGCCCTCCATGCCCCCCTCTCCGATGCCGACTGTTTTTTTACCACCGGTGTGTCTTTGGGCTGGCCCAGCGCACAAGCGTATGCCGCCCAATGAACGGCTGCTCCTAAGCTGCCCGTCGACGGCCATCTGAGACATGCGTCGCCGCTTAAACCACATCGTAACCCGCCATTGTGCGCAAGTTTGAGGACATGTGAGTATGTTGTCCCCTTTTCCCTCTCCTCTTGCTACGCTGGCGTGTGCGCCATTTTAGCAACGGGCCTGGACCGCAAGGTCAGTAGTAGATGACTCTCGTCAGCCTGCCATGACCAGACGCTGGCTCTGCGTTATCCAGGGTCGCTAGATGTGATGCGGCCATCGTCTGTCCCGGCGCCTTGGTCCAACCAGCGTGCTGGGTTTAGATTGTACTTGCACATGTAGCCTGGCGTGGAGCGTCCCCGGCCATGAGCGCGCTAGAACACAACGGGCCCAGCAGCCAGGCATGTTCTGTCTCGTTGGAAAACCCTGCAGAATGCGAAAACTCTCATGTCTCGCTGGCCCATCCGTAGTTCTTGACATTGCGACGTGAGATCAGAATGGGCATCTTGATCGGCCATCGAATACCTCGTGCTCGTGGCCAGGGGAATGTCGTGATAGATTCGGGGGTTCGAGGTGAGTATTGAGGGTCGAGCCTTGCACAGAGGCGGTCTGTGCATGGGTATGGCACAGGCGTTCAATGTACCTGAACCCCAAGGTACTGTCATCTACTTGGTCCCTTTGGTGGCAGGGGTTGGGCGGTCAAGATGGTTCCTCTGGAGAACATATCGCCACTCGACAGGTGTTGAGCCTTGTCGACAAGCAATCCACGACTCGTACTCTGCTCTTCTGAATATGCCACTCCTCTCATGTTGCTCTTCAAGCAATAGGAGATGGATCCATGGCCTGGGTCGCCGTGGTCGCGATGCCCCAGTTATGGCTTACAAGTCGCCACCAAGATCAGCAGCACCACCCGTGTAAACTCCCGGAAGAGTGGTATCCGGACGACACACATCCACCAAAGGGCAGGGTAGGTGTCGGCGGCAATCGACGCGTTAATAGGTGACAGCTCAGAAGCGGCAGCAAGTGACAGTCAGTTGAAGGATCGTCGAGGAGCCGATGCAGCCAAATTATCTCGTGGCCCCCAGCCCAGGAACTCTACTGTCGTTTGCCAGGTGTGCTTGCCTTAATTCGGGTGAGTCGACATGTACCTAGTAAAACTGTGGTGACTACCTACCCCCACGTCATTCTCATGGCCAACAGTAGGAGCGAGTGCTGACCACTTCGTCGCATCAGAGCGGCACGGCGTTTTGGTGGCTCTCATCGAAGGTACCCTATACTGCACATCTTAAGGCCGACGACGGCCAAACCAGAACCGCGGGCTGTCGAGTGCTGGCCAATGTGCGGGGATGCAGTAGCGCTACAACGCGGTGATGGAAGTGGCACGCTCGTCCGAAGTGGAAAACAGTGCTCCGCTTCGGTACTGCTCTGGTGATCGTGCGCACGATGTCACCGTTACCCGGACCGGATTTTCGTAAAGTCTGGCGTGGCCTGTCGAGCTGACGCTGTCAGCACGCTTTGATGGAAGACAACCGCTGAACGTCAGGTATAACCTGGTGAGAAACGTTTCTCTTGCGGCCGAACATGTGGCATCGACAAACGTTGAGCTAGACTGGTTTCTCGCGACGGCGACAGGGATCTGCCCACAATCCGTTTTGGAGTAGTGTGACGGGACTGGCGGTGTCCGAACGGCTTTGAGCTATGACGCGAAAAGAATTCGCCTAGGGGAAATGGCTACTAAGCTTTTTGTGATGCTCTCCTTTGTGTCCAAACGCCCCAGCTATCAGGCTTTCTCGCTCCCCGAATCTTGGGTACTCGACGAGGAACGGCGTGAGATCCTGATGAGGTACGTACATACATCGACACAGTAGGCCGCAGTATCGTGA